AAAAAAAAAAAAAAAAATTGTTCACAAACTGGAATGATGGGGAAGGGAGGATTAGAATTCTTTAGGGACCTTTTCCAGGCATGGCTGTGCATGCCTGTAGTCACAGCTACTTGGGAGTCTGAGGCAGGAAGGTCGCTTGAGCCCAGGAGTTCCAGACCAGCCTAGGCAACACAGTGAGACCCATTCTCTACAAAAAATACAAAAATGCCTTAGGGATCAATTTTGACGGTGGGATAACAAGTATCTCTTACTAGTATGTCAGCTATATTTCAATAGATGCTTCTGGCTGGGCATGGTGGCTCACACCTGTAACTTCAGCACTCAGGGACGCTGAGGCAGGAGGACTACTTGAGGCCAGGAGTTCCAGACCAGCCTGGTCAACATAGCAAGACCCTGTCTCTAAAAAGTTTTTAGAAAGTAGCTAGGTGTGGTGGTGCACACCAGTAGTCCCAAGTATTTGGGAGGCTGAGGTGGGAGGATCGCTTGAACCCAAGAGGTTGAGGCTGCAGTGAGCTATGACTGAGCCACTACACTCCAGCCTGGGTGACAGAGTAAGACCTTGCCTCTAAAAACTAAAGAACTTAAATACATACATACATACATACATAAATATATAAATAAATGGGTGCTGCTAAGAAGGCGGAAGAGCCAGTCCTCTGAACTAGACACAAAAATTTTACTCAAGATGCTGCTTACACATAGAATGACACAGATGAATTCACAGACATAACATTAAGTGAAAGAAGCCAGACGCAAGAGAGTGAGTACTACAGGATCTCGTTTATCCACATAAAGAATGAAACAAACAGAGCAGTTATGGCGTCAGGAGCCAAGCACTCACCCCTAGGGAAGGGGCAGTGCCTCAAAAGGAGCAGGAGGCCTTCAGAGCCCTGGTCAGATCCCATTTTTCAGTGTAGGCGTGGACCACACAGGCGATGCTGACTTACAAATCATTTAACTGTTCACTCATATGTGTGTTTCTCTATATGTATATTATATTCCAGTAACATTTAAAAACACACTATAATTGGCTTAGCAAATATCTTTATATAATGTTAATTACTCATTCAGTTTGAATCACAAAAACTGAAAAATGAAATTCAAAACAATTATAAAATGTGTCCTTAAATATTAACTTTTTCCTTCAAGAGGCCCTTAGACCGATTCAATTTTGATAAACTCAGCCGGGCGTGGTGGCTCATGCCTGTAATCCCAGCACATTGGAAGGCTGAGGTGGGAGGACTGCTTGAGCCCAGGAGTGTAAGACCAGCCTGGGCAACACAGCGAGACCCCCATCTCTACCAATTTTTTAAGTATTTTCATATTTCATATTTTTCATATTTTCATATTTAAATTTATAATTGCTTTTCTATGTTTAAAAAAGCTCATTTTTTTTATAGTATGATGCCATTCTAGCCAATCTTTCATAAAAGCATTTAATGAAGTTTCTTTGACCATCCAATTCCCCCAAAATTAAAAGTCCTAATGTATCTGATGCTAAAATTTTGAATTGGAACTATACTTGATGTGCTGTTAAGGAACTGGAGAAGCAATGTAAACAGGGCAGTGATACCTTCAGAGAGGCATTCCCTGTTTCCAAAGAATGCAGGGCTTGTCTCTGAACGTACCGTTCTAGACGTGGGTGGGGCGGACGGGCTGGTCAGCGACATGATCTCCTGGATGGCCAGCCTCAGCTTCAGTCTGTGCAGGGGGTTGCTGATGCCGATCTCACGCTGGATCTCCGTGTCGGACAGGGCCGACATGATGGCCCCGCTTTTCACATTTGCTCGGCAGGCAGCCACATACCAGGCTGGCATCCCAACCCAGAGCTGGAGGCAGAAAGCGGAAGGCAGCACAGTGAGGTACAGTCTACAAGGCAGAACTGCAAGTTCACATACTGTAACCCATGCAACTGCGTGTTAAATGAAGGACGTACCTCCAGCCAGACCACAACCGTTGGCCCGTCCCATTGGGCAAAAGGTAAACCTTGTCTCCGGGCTTCCTCCAGCAATTCATGCCTACAAAGGAGAAGATATTGAAAATTAGAGAATCAGCCAGGCATGGTAGCTCACACCTGTAATCCCAGCTCTTTGGGAGGCCGAGGCAGGAGGACCACTTGAGCCCAGGAGTTCAAGACCAGCCTAGACAGCACAGCGAGACCCCATCTCTACAAAAAATTTTAAACATTAGCACGGTGTAGTGGCACACCTCTATAGTCCCAGCTGCTCGGGAGGCTGAGGCAGGAAGACTGCTTGAGGCCAGTAGTTCAAGAGCAGCCTGGGCAATATAATAAGATGCATCTCTACAAAAATTAAAAAAGAAATTAAAAAGAATTAGCCAGGCATGGTGACGCATGCCTGTAGTCTCAGCTACTTGGGAGGCTGAGGTGGAAGGACTGCCTGAGTCCAGGAGGCCGAGGCTACAGTAAGCCATGACTGTGCCACTGCACTCCAGCCTAGGCAACCGAGTGAGACCCTATCTCTAAAAAACAAAAATTAAAACCAGCAAAAACAAAAACAAAATCAAGGAACCACTATTATATGCATATATAAAATAAGTTAACAAAGTGTTCTGCGCATTTGCGAAAGTCTAACAGTACGCAGTCTGCCCTCTGTATCTGTGGCTTCCACATCCACACATTCAACCAACTGCAGATCAAAAATATTCAGTGGGAAAAACAATAAAAATCAATACAGCACAACAGCTATTTACAAAGCATTTACATTCCACTGGGTATTCTAAGGAACCTAGAGACGATTTGAAGTCTACGGGAGATTATGCCTATGTGATATGTAAACACCATGACATTTTATACAGAAGACTTAAGCTTCCATGGATTTGGGTCTTCAGGAGGGGTCCTGGAACCAATCCCCCACAGACTCTGAGACACGACTATAAATTCTCATCATTTTCCTTTCATCTTCTACAGTTTTACATTATCAACACCATCCATTCCACATTAGTTCTGTGCACACTACAAAGAATGCCTGAGTGAGAAAACACTGAATGACTCCCTCTGATTCCCTACAGAATCCCCACCTCCTTACAGTATCAAAGAATTATTACCAACTTTAAAAACACCAGCAGAGGCTGGGCGCGGTGGCTCATGCCTGTAACCCCAGAACTTTGGGAGGCTGAGGTGGGCGGATCATGAGGTCAGGAGATCGAGACCATCCTGGCTAACACGGTGAAACCCCATCTCTACTAAAAATACAAAAAATTAACTGGACATGGTGACGCATGCCTGTAATCACAGTTACTCGGGAGGCTGAGGCAGGAGAATCACTTGAACCCGGGAGGCAGAATTTGCAGTGAGCTGAGATCATGCCATTGCACTCCAGCCTGGGTGATAGAGCAAGACTCTATCTCAAAAAACAAACAACAAAAAAATCAACAACAACAAAAAAACAGCAGCAGAGCCTTCACATCCAAGGTCTAGGACATTCAAGGAAAACAATCACAATTCCCTTTTTAAACAATGAAGACAACTATCTGGAAAGAGGAAACCACACCTTGGTCTAAACAAAGTAGCCTATCTCAATGAGAATCTTTAAAAATGTTCAGCATTTACCCAAAGAAAGAAGGAAAAAGAATATTGCAGCTTTTTAACACTACAATGTTATGATCTAATCTAGCAGGCAAGCAGTGGATGGCTGTCTCTACACTGCTATTTAGCTGATTACTTGCTGAATCAAGTCACTGGGTCATCTGTGGCTTAACCCACAGGCCTCCTACCCAGGAGATTTGAAACCCTAACAGTTTTCTCAGTGCAGGGGAATCCTGAATGCAAGAATCCATGTGTCACTGGTGACCACAAGGAGGCAGGCAGGCGTCAGTCCTGCCACAGATCTCTTTATGTGATCGGAAATATTCTATATGCCTCATTTTTAAATACCCACGGTTAACATAATGTTGTCTAACATAGGTATTTGAGAAATAACACTATAAGCTTGGTGAATCTCATTTTATTTCTCAAGTGTTTACCTACAAGGCTTTCAAAGAGGCTAATTGTTTAAAAAAATAAAAAGCCTCAGAGAGAAGATGTCATTGTAACGGAGAGGACACGTACATTTGGTTTGCACATAAAGATATCCCCAAGTCATTTAAACAGCCCTAGGCTGCTTTTAGCCCATTTTTTCTATAATGATTTCTGTAAGACATACCAGAGAATCTCTTATTTCTAAAAATTTGATATTGGCTCTTCAATACATTTCAATAGCCGCAGACTTTTCTTAGGAGTATGAAGTGGTATCGCAAGACGTGAAATGAAGGGGTTGGGAGGAAGGGCACACTGCATGGCACCAGTCACCAGGTGGTGGCTGAAACCCTGCTTTCCGTTCCCTTGGGACAAATGCCCCTCAACGACAGTCAGTAGAGCTTCCTTCACACATGGTGGGTCTAGGAAGTAGTACAGGTAATTCCTGCCACATCAATCCCAGAAAAAGCTCTGAATGCTGACTATCTGGTTAACTGCTAAGGCCTTGAGCGTCCGTGGCCTGGCGAAGGAGCAAGGAGGATCTGACTGCTGCCAAGTCAGGAGGGCTTCCAGCTTATGCTCAGCCTTGGCACTCTGCCAGAGACTTCATTTTTTACCATGTAATAGATACTCACTGTAAACAAAAATAACTGTCAAAAAATAATCCTTTACTTCTATTACTTGGAGACTGGTGTACACTGTCCTGGACTTCACCAGTACCGTCTTCCTGGCAATGATCACTAGCTTTTATAAAGTCTTTTCCAGAATGGAGACGCTTCTGGGTCCAGAAGCAACAGTGGAAACACTGTTAAAACAGTGGAGGTAGACGGATGTGTGTAAGAGTCACAGGAAGTTAGGAAGAAGGCAGAGGAGACCCCATCTGGGTGGCAGGCCCAGGCCTCAGTGTGTGTCCTGGCTCCCCTCCCCTATCAGACCAGTCCCTGATCTTTAAGATCAAACATGGGACCTTACCCCTGGGCTGACACTCCAGGTGGGAACACCAGAGCCCCTGTTTTCTCTGGGGGAACTGTTCCAATTATGGAAGAAGTCCCCTGTGTCGAGGGGATGCAGAGTCCAGAACTTGGAGATGGCTGAGGCCACTCCACCCTGGCCCTCTGGGCTGTTCCTTTACATGAACAACTACATTCCTCCTTTATTGCTTGATCTCAGACTTGGCTCTTTCACTGGCTACTGAGAATGCTATAATGCAAAAAGGTCATATAATTTGTGAATAATGCTGTACATTTTATAATTAAGACATAGCATAATGGTAAAGTCTTTCATAATGAGAAGCTTGTGTGAGCTTTTGCTGATCAAACAGTATGTAAGGGATAGGGAGGAAGTACTTTCATTTAACTATCCAAACTAAATATATCACCTTGCTTTCATAAGACTGAAGCTGTTCAATCCCCTGCACCCTGCACACAGTGAACGAGACATGCTTTCACAGGCACAGTTGCCACCTGGGTGACAGAGCAGGACCCTCTCCAAAAACCATAAAAAAATACCACCACCACAAGTACGGTTCTGTGACCCAGCCACAGCCCCTCCCGCGCTCCATGGCCATGGCACACTGGCAGAATCCTGAGGAAAGATGTAGGCTCGCCCTGATGAGAAATGGATGGAATCAGCATTTCTCATGCAAAACTAAAAAGATCCTTGGGCCAGATGTGATGGCTCACACCTGTAATCCCAACACTTTGAGAGGCAGAGGCAGGAAGATCACTTGAGGCCAGGAGTTCAAGACCAGCCTGGTCAACACAGTCAGACCCCTGTCTCTACTAAAAATAAAAGTCAAGGCCGCAGTGAGTGGTGAATGTGCCACTGCACTTCAGCCTGGGCAACCGTGCAAGGGCGAAAATAAAAAAATAAAAAGATCCTCTCAGGAAGCTCAGCATAGAGCCTGTGGCTGGTGACTGCCCACACTCAGCCCAGCAAATCTCCCAAGTCTGATTACCCTGAGAAAGCACTAGGAAGACAAAGAGGAGAACATGAAAAGGGAACACTTTAAAAGCAAGGTTACTTCAAGAGATGGCGTTTCAATAACCCTGGGGAATTCCAGAAGTGCTGTGGAATCACTATGCACTATCAAAGCTGATGAACGTCTTTAGGACAGCCAGGCCCGACTTGCGGGTTCACTACCACGTATTCCAGGTACCAAATGCGCCCACCACACTGTGTCTTACAAAACTTGAAATCAGCTTGCCACCAAACTCACCAGGTTCCTTAAATTCTCTGTAAGTGAAAGCATCTGGCTGTGTAAATTTTGCAGTTAAAAGCACACTTTTGAGTGAAATCAGGGGTTAAGAAGAAAATAATTCTGAGAAATATAATTTCATTCTTAAGAATGGCATAAATATTAAACTGTATTCATATAATACTTTTTCCGGAAAACGCAAACTTTTTTTCACATTTATATGTAGATACCTTAGGCCGGGCGCGGTGGCTCATGCCTGTAATCTCAACACTTTGGGAGGCAGAGGTGGACAGATCACTTGAGGTCAGGAATTCAAAACCAGCCTGGCCAACATGGTGAAACCCCGTCTCTACTAAAAATTCTAAAAAATTAGCTGGGCACGGTGGCACACACTTGTAATTTCAGCTACTGGGAGGCTGAGGCAGGAGAATCACTTGAAACCAGGAGGTGGAGGTTGCAGTGAGCCAGAATCGTGCCATTGCACTCCAGCCTGGGCGACACAGTGAGAGACTTCATCTCAATCAATTAATCAATCAATCAATCAATAAAGCACTTTTTCTAAAATCAATTTTATCTCAGTTTAAGTGAAAGAAATGAAACTGCCCTCTATAGTCAGACAAATAATCTTTGTACTTGGAAATTTTCCCCACTAAGGAGCTGGTACATTTCAGAACTTCCACATGGATCTCAAGCACAACATAAAGGACAGAGAAGTTTTATTTCACTTCCTCATACTTACTATAATAAAAACAGTAACATTAGCAAAATCTAAGGAATGAAATTTTCCTAGGATGTTTCCAGGAGGCAGAAAGTTTAGTCCTAACATTAAGTTTCACAGGGCCAAATGGCAATTACCCAAGTTATTTTAAAACATTCTTGGCTGGGCGCAGTGGCTCATGCCTGTAATCCCAGCACTTTGGGAGGCCGAGGTGGGTGGATCATGAGGTCAGGATATGGAGACCATCCTGGGTAACACGGTGAAACCCCGTCTCTACTAAAAATACAAAAAAATTAGCTGGGCGTGGTGGCGAGTGCCTGTAGTCCCAGCTACTCGGGAGGCTGAGGCAGGAGAATGGCGTGACCACGGGAGGTGGAGCTTGCAGTGAACCAAGATCGCACCACTGCACTCCAGCCTGGGAGACAGAGTGAGACTCCGTCTCAAAAGCAAACAAACAAAAAAAACATTCTTACACAGTTCAAGCATAGCAATGTTCAAATCAGATTTTGCTGTTAAGTGGTTTCTATAAATTTCCATTTACAGGAAACCAAAAAACCTGAGTATTCCTATGGTATTGTTAATATTTAAGAGCATTTTACCTAAAATATAATCAATAAAGTTATTTATAAAGGCTTTGAAAAGAAAACTAAAATGAGACAGATTTCACAACAGAAAAAATCAGCTGGCAACTCTGGGGGCTAAAGGCAAAGGGGCCTCTAGGGCAGAGGGTCCCTGCAGGCTCTGGTGCTTCTGGGAACCAGTGTCTTTGGGCCCCAATTTCCAGATGAGCGTTGGTTTCTTAGGGCACTTAAAAGTGGCCAGATGATTTTTCCCACACTCAGAGTCATCACACAGCCCATCAAGTTTCACCCTGTCTCAAAGCCTGGCGTTACCATCTTCCACATTTCTCAAGCTCAGGCCTTACCCCATAGACTACACAAACTGCTTATTTTATTACAGAAGTGGCTTTAGTTTTGTTCATCGTTTGTTAGCTCACTCGGGCATTGTCTCAGCCTATCTAGTTCATCTACGGTCAGCCAACACACAACTCACCCCACATCCCAGAAGGCCCAGGGACAGGAACCTGATTCCTCCATGCCCTCACCCCGGGGCATCACAATGCCTGTGCTCCTTTGTTGAAAGCCATCCCAAATATTACAGCTTATTGTCAGAAGCAGACTTAGTTTAGAATTAAAACTTAATAAACAGGCTATAAAATCTGGAGTCTCTCTGAGATAAAAGTACAAAATCTATAGAAGAGAAAAAAATGCAACATGACAAATGTTTCAGGCAGATTACTAGCATGAAGAGCAAATGCTGAACGCTGGCAAACAACAGTCGCTGTAGTGGCCACAGTTACAACTTGTTTATGACTTGCTGGCACTGTTTAAATAACTTCATGCATATCATCCCATTTAATTCTCATAAAAGCCATACAAGGTATATACTACTAGGATCCCCACTTTACAGATGAGAAAACTGAAGCACAGAGATGCTAAGTCACTTCCTCGACGTCACAAAGTGAACCTGAGCAGGCGCCAGGGCCGACTCCAGTGCTCAGGCAGCCGAGTCCAACTCTCACCCATCCTATCTCCTAGTTGGACAACTTTCCAAGACAATAGGGATACCAGTGTGAGTTTCTTCGAAATTTCACACTCTAAATCTTCTAGAAAGTACGGCTTAACTAAGGCTGTAGGTAAAGCTTTCAGAATACAATGTATATATACATAGCTACATATTATAATTAACGAACACTACTTAGAGCTTAGGCACAACTGAAAACCATGCAATGAGATGAAGAAATAATACAAAGCTTACTTTTTTTGAAGTTTACGATTTTTTTCAGCCTGTCCTCCCAATTTGCTAAGTCCCAAGGCATCCTGAGATGAATTATCTGTCTCGGAAACGCCAGCTATGAGGAAGCAGAACAGCCCAGAAGTAAAAATCAGCATGACAAAGTTCTATGTTTTCATAAATAGGCGGATGAATATTTGCAGGTTCAGAGGGAAATCATTTCTTAAGCCTAAGTTTCTGACTAGACAACCAAATGCGCAAGACAAAAATGCTCAAAGACAGAAAACGTGTGGTACCTGAGTGGCAAGTGAGCATAAACCGCTGCTCTCTAGCTCCCAGGCCTTCACAGCCGCTGCTCCCTGGAGAGCACACGGCTGCCGGAGCACCACATGGGAACTGCTGGCACCGAAGGCAGTGCCTTCCTCCCCGACCCCTGGCTGCTGGGAAGGGTGCGGAAAACCAACCAACCTTGTCCTAATGCTTCTTTGCCGGTTTGTCCAGGTCGGCCCTTTTCTTTCTTGCCAAACAAGCGGCCAATGGAGGACTTAATGCCTTTCTTCTTTGGGGCTTTGTGGAGCGAGTCCTGGCTACTGTTGCTACTGCTGGGATTGCTCACGGGACCGTCCTGGGAGCCTGTGGAGCTTCGAGGAAAGAAAACGGATCTTTACCATGTGCCCTTGTAGGATACTTCACATATTAACAGTTGCAAACTTCCCTACAAGCACTTCCAGTCTCTTTCACACACATCTTCCTCACCAAGTGCATCATGCATGACAAAGGCAGGCTCCCGGTGAGGCCAGCACAGAGACCCATTCTGGGCAGCTGAGACTCTCTGACACGGAGCTCCCCTTCCCTCCAGGGGAGGCCCTGACTCCGCGCCATCAGGTTCCAAAACTCAGTGGTCCGCCTGCTACCCCTCCAGCAGCTCCCACAACTGCCCTGAGCATTACTCTGCTCAGCTGAGAAACGTGGCAATGTTAACTGCCTGAGGGGTTACTGCAAAAATTAATATACATGCCTCCCCTGCATATTGCCTGGCACAGAACCGAAATCCAATGGAGTCTGAAAAAAGAGGGGCTGGGCACGGTGGCTCACGCCTGTAATCCCAGCATTTTGGGAGGCCAAGGCTGGCGGATCATGAGCTCAGGAGTTCAAGACCAGCCTGGCCAGCATGGTAATACCCCATCTTTACTAAAAATACAAAAAGTAGCTGGGCATGGTGGCGTGCGCCTGCAGTCCCAGCTACCGGGGAGGCGGAGGCTGTGGTGAGCCAAGATCATGCCACTGCACTCCAGCCTGGACAATAGAGCGAGACTGTCTCAAAAAGAAAAAAAAAAGAGAGCATAGATGGCATACTAGTAACAAAACAGCTGATTGGTTTCCTGAGTGGGGACACTCAGTAAATGGGTAAGTACAACTTGGAACTCTCCACAGCTTATAAAAGGCGCAAGAGGGCGTCTGAAAGGCACGGGTTGTCCTAGAGGGCGGTTCCAATCCCAAGTCTGTCATTTGCTTGCCAAACTCTCCATCAAGAATAGAAAGCAGTCAATTTGTAGACTCTGAAGACATGAAGTTTTTCCAAAACTTGCTGATATCATTTAACTCCTTCCTTTCCAAACTAAGCTTGCCCAAACAGATATGCATTTTCTGCTGGATTTCACTGTAGCCCAGAGCAGTGGTAGGCATTCTAAGTGTAACACGTAAATACACTCAACTGAATTAACAGACAATTCTAGAAAATCATTGTTTTAGTCAAGAAAAGATTCGTCGATTTCTCAACACTGGAAACGAAAAGACAAGTATGCTCTGCACGGGGCTGCTGCAGGCTCCTTACTTCCTTAGGTCCCTGATGTCCTCGTGGCTGACGGTGTGCAGCGCCCCTTTGTGCAGCCGGTCTAACCGAAGGGCTCTCGGGGAGGAAGGCGGGGAGGTTTCACACTTTATGGTTGTCTTGTCATCTCGTACCTCTTCTCTGGAAGGTGGCAACTGAAGGGTGAGAGAAGCGCAAAGTCAGTTAATAGCAGACTGTGAAAAACTCAGGCCTTAAATAATAGCCATAAACTTCTTTTGAAAATCGATTCGCTGTGCTTTCTGCCAGCACAGAAAGTCTTGTTTCAGTCTGGCACCATTCTGAAGGGCCACGCAGCACAGCACCACAGAGCCGTCAGACTCCTGGTCTGCCTCCCCACGAGCGTGCACTGGGCCAGCAGGACACAGGGATGCCCCTCATCCTCAGCCTCCTCCGTGCAGCCCGAGGTTATCCTAGGCACATTATGAGGACAGTCACTCAGCTGCAGAGATCCGAACAACACCTATAAACCATATCGTTACAAATGTCAGACAGCATTAACTCGCACTAATGAAGAGCCAGCGACGTTTACCTCCTGATGTACTTCGAAAGACACTCTAGAGACGGCAGAAACCTCCGGGGCAAAATTGTCAAATACCTTTTTGTCTGAAAGGGTAAAAAATAAACAAGGAACAGCCCATGGCCACCCATACACATGTCTATGGCTCATATTTCTCAATAATGTTTGGACTGGACACTATAAATTGAAGCACTTCTATGCAGTTTAAACATTTTTCTTCAATATGGCTTAAAAGAAAATACTTCCAGGCTTATCATTACAAGATGATCTTTGTCAGACTCCCAGGGTTTTTCGTTTTTGCAGTGGAGCATGAATATGCCCATGTGCTGAGGGAGCAGGATGGTGGCAACAACAGCGAACAGACTCACCCCTGCAGGGTCTGGGCAGATCCTGCTGATACATCTGTGTTTTCTGGTTTTGATTGGGACTAGATTTCATAAAACATGTTGAGCAAGCATTACTATAAACAGCAAGACTTGAACGGTAAACTTTATTTTATTAAAAAATTTTTTAAGAGCCAGGTTCTTGCTACGGTTCCCAGGCCGGACTGCAGTGGCTATTTGCAGATGTGATCGTTTTGCATTACGGCCTCAAACTCCTGTGCTCAACTGATCCTTCTGCCTCGGCCTCCAAAGTAGGTGGGACTACAAGCATGTACCACTGGGCTCAGTCTGAACTTCTGCTTTTTAAATGGGATTGTGTAAAGTATATCAATCCTACTGTAGCCCCACTGTGGCTCAGGGAGGACCAAGTGCAGTCAATGCAAAATGGAGCTGTGCTCATTTAGGACACAATCTCAACTGACAGTTAAAATGCAAATGAATCCTGCACCCTTTCCTACTTTCCAGTTACAATCACAAGACAATGAAAGGCTTTCATATCTAGAAATTATCAATATGAAGCTTAAGTTTCAAAATTCAGGTTAAAACAATCATCTGTTTTAAAAAAAAAAAACCAAAAACAGGGTACAGGGCAAGCTGACATGCAGCCGGCTGTAAGCTGTTAACAGAGTCTGGGGAAAGCCCCGAGAGCCTGGCCAGCGCTGCCCACCGCATCCCTCCACACGCCACTCTCCGTGCTCCCCCACACGCCGCCCTCTGCACTCCTCCGTACGCTGTAGTGCTGTCACATGCCAGACTTCCGCCTCCATCCCAGCTCAGGCCTACTAGAGAGCAGGGAAGTCCTCTTGGTCCACACCAACACCACTGACACAGCGAATGAAGGCGACAGTCTTCTGTGGACCAGGTCTGGCACCAGGCCTGGCACTCTGCACGCACACCTGGTTTAACCTCACAACCACCCAAGGACTAGGCTCCTCAAAGCCACCAAGCAGCACGCTGAAGTTACCAGTGACCAACAGGGCCAGGTTATCATGCCTAAGTATCAATCAACATGATGCTTCCTTCACTGAGAAAATCTTGCTATCAAAAAATAAAACACAATCCAATAGAAGTCAGCTGAACTGAAGGCCGTGCTCTGTGTCTTTTGCTGCTGGTGTAAGCTCCTTATCTCACCACAGCCAGCCACAGGTCCAATGCCACTTTAAGTGGCACTGTTCTATCATCATCTTCACTTCTCAGGAGGGCAAACCGAGGTAGAAACAGACCCCAGCTCACAAACTCATCAGTGATTAAACTGGGATCCGAACCCAAGCAGTTTCACTAAATCATCCAACAGAGAGCTCACAGACAGTTGCTGACCAGGTCCCACGCTTTTGTCAGAGACAGATGCCTTTAGGTATCTAAACAGCTGTCCAGTCACCGCATCATCAGGCGGGTTTCAGACACCAGCACAGAATAAAGACCAGAGCGTGAAAGTTATGAGGGGGAGATTTTGGGTCAACATAAAGAACAGCCACCGAGCAGATCTGCTCTTAATGTACTCTACTTCCTTCGAGAACAGGAAGGCCCAATCCACAGTTATCTCTAAAGAGAAGTGGTCTTGGGCCTCCTTCTGTGGGAATGCTGCCAGGGAGGTCAGAGTATCTGAGACAAGTAAGGCTAGATGGTGAAGTGGTCACCTGTTAGATTTTGAAATCAGACAAATCTGAACTCAAATCAGCACTGTGCACTGTGGGGCCTCTCTAAGCTTTAGTTTCCACATCTGTAAAATGGGGATAACAACAGTAACCTCACGGGGATGTGTATGGGGATTAAATACGGGTTGAGCATCCCAAACCCAAACATTTGAAATTCAAAATGCTCCAAAATCTCTAATTTGAGTGCTGACATGATGCTTGAAGGAAACGGTCAATGGAGCATTTCAGATTTTGGATTTTCAGATTTGAGAGGCTCAACTAGTAAGTGTAATGCAAATATTTCAAAATTCAAACAAATCTGAAATCTGAAATCCCTCTGGCCCTGAGCATCTCAGATCAGGGACACTCAGCCTGCACCAGACTGGGGAAACACTCAGCACAGTGCCCAGCATACGGCAAGAGCCCAACGCTAGCTGTGACTATTACAAAAATGGGTCCCCCCGAATCTACAATCCATAGCTTTGCACGAGTAATTTCTTATTTTTAAAACTACGTCTACCATGAATAAGCATGTGATGACTAGAAGGCTAAAAAGGTGAGAGAATGGCAAACTGTTACATTTGTCCCAGTGTTCTGTGAAAACCACTAATGACTAATTTCCAATAGAACCATCATCCAGTAAGGTGCTTTAGACACTTTAGACACCTCCATTAAAATGCCAACCATTCATTATTATACAACTACATAATGCTGTATTTATGTAAAATATGATAGGTACTCTTCAATACATTATTGAGATACAAAGATACGTTAAATTACTAAATAATTTACCTTTCTACGATGTTTCCTTAAATCACTAGGCTGATAGATGCGTGCAAAGAAATGAAGAGAAACCAGATTTACTATACACTTTGAAGTTAGAAATTCAAGGATCAGTATAAGCAAATATATTAAAATAGAAATGACAGGAGACAGGATTTAGAGAAAATGTAATTGGATACAGAACCATTTTTTCACCAAAAAATTTAAATACAAGTTATTAAAGGTTTATTAGAGAAACACTATAAATTATTACTTAGATAAAATTCTATTTCTTGTGTTTTATTAAAATATGGCATTCTATATAATAAACGACCCTAACAATCATCTATTCTAAGCCAAATCTCCCTATAACTTAGTTTTCTTTAATAAAATCCATGTTATAGTTAAAAATATTCCAACTGATGATGAAGTTACTGCAATACCAATTATAAAACTGAACAAACCTACTTTTAGTTAATCACCTGTTTGACATTAATGTGAAATCCTTACCTAGAATTTGATTTACCACTTCTCAAAAATAAAGTTATTGCTTAAAGCAAGGTATCCTGTGAAAATATATAAGAACAAAAGCTAGCATAATGTTAGGTAGAATCTTTACATCCATCCTATGATTCAAGTAAGATATTTTAATTTAAAAATAACCTATTAGAGACAGCAGCTGATGCGATTCAACAAGCTGATGAGATTTACAGTCTTGAATACAATCATCAGAACCAGAAAGCATACTGTTTGTGTAAATAGCTTCCATTAAGTCTACGCTTAGACAGATTATTTATGTAGGAAACACTTATGAATTACAGAAATCCTACATAATTTGAGTAAAAACACTCTTAAACACCTATGTCTTGCCTGTATCCATACTTACTATATAGTAATACACTAATTTAAATTTATTATCATTGAGAAAAAGATACTTTTAACTAAGAGAAAAGCAACCCATTAATAAAGTCATCACAGCACAGACTCACACATGATCGAACACACACAGTTGCGTGGTTACCTGAGCATGCTGTGAAGAATCGCTATAGCATGGGATGGAACTGGGAGGGGAGGTGGATGAGTAAACTACAGACTGATGGGGACCTGAGGTCTGGATTAAAAATGAATCTGGAGATGGCTAAAATAATAAAACAAAAGGATGACAGGAAATCAAAACCAATGACGGAAGCATAGAGACTGTCAGCCAGCATACGGAATTACAAAACCAGAAAAAATATATAAACATACACAACTGTTTTTACAAATTCTCTGGACAGAAATAAGCATAAAACCACAAATAAAACAGTCAAAGAGTTTAAAATATTACCTAATTAGATGATGTAAATTATAAAAACAGTATTTCAAAACACTGCAAAATAGACTAGTTACCACCTCATATGTCACTAAAATGATTCACCATCGATTTAATTGCATGCTGGCTAACAACACAACTAAAAATGAAAATAGATGGTAACGGGAAAAAATATGATAGAAGTGCAGTTAAAAAGCAAATCGTCTAATTATGAAATATTTCATTGACAGCATACTGACAAATCCTAAATATACAAGATGGTTTTTTGTTTTTTGTTTTTTTAAATAAAGATGGGGTTCTCATTATGTTGCCCAGGCTGGTCTCTTAACTCCTAGCTCAAGCAATCCTCCTACCTTGACCTCCCAAAGTGCTGGGATTACAGGCGTGAGACACCGTGCCAGGCCCACAGGAAAGTTTTAAACATTCCTCAGACCCGCACACTTTGCAAACGCCAAACACCAGAAGGTCATCGCATTTCCAGGTGAGAGGTGACCCTAAGCTGCGAAGGGAAGAAGCCCATCTGCTTCCTTAGGGAGCCACGAAGCAGCTAGCTTGTTCACGGCTTCACATGCAGAACCCATTTCGCATGTTTTCCTTTTTTTTTTTTTTTTTTTTTTTTGGTATTAGTTGCCCTGGAAGCTGGCTGGGCACTCCAAAAGGAAAGAAATGCACTGACTCCCTTTATACATTTTCCCATATACTCTGATGTCTGCCTTTATTTACTTTTGCTAAGTAGTTTTTCCTAGAAAACAGAAAATATTTCCCCTTCTGGCTGCTGTACTTTTGCACAGGTGTCATGCCTAATGTCACACAAACAAATGGTGTATTGCTAGCCTGGTCATCCAAATATTTAAAAAAAATTTTAATATTTTTTGGGATTTGTTTTCAGATAGGGTCTCACTCTGCTGCCCAGGCTGGAGGGCAGTGATGCAATCATGGCTCACTGTAGCCTCAACCTCCTAGGCTCAGGTGATCCTCCCGCCTCAGCCTCCAGAGTAGCTGGGACTACAGGCATACACCACCATGCCCAGCTACTTTTTGTAAAGACAGGGTTTTGCCATGTTGCCCAGCTGGTTTTGACCTCCTGGGCTCAAGTGATCTGCCCACCTTAGTCTCCCAAAGTTTGAGGAATGACAGGCGTGAGCCACCATGCCCAGTCCCAAATGTTAAAATTAGTTTGTCATAACTGAATGATTAAATAATAACTAGTTTTTATAATCTTGAACCTCTTAGAATAATGAATGTACTTGATTTTCCTGTGGGTAGATTTGTAGTGTCCAAAATTTCATACAGGTATGCTGAGGGCAGCCACAGCAGAGAAAGGGCGGATACGTACAAGGGTCATGACGCCCAGTCTGTCCACTTCCCGGGCTGGGCTGTGAGGGATCCTTCGTGGGGTGGAGCGCCCACTGCCCGGAGGGGAGGAGCTAGCAAGTGAGGAAGCAGGGTAGGGGGGAATGGAGCTCATTGATCTAAAACGACCAAGATTGTCTAGACTTCCGCTGCCAACTCGACTTTCAATCTCCTCTGCCCGCTGCTCTGTGTTTTCTTTTTCTTCCTGAATCAACCTAAAATAAAACAAAAGCAGTCAGTCCTCCCGTTTCGGCAAACAGATTAATGTGTTTGCATGAGAAAGACCATGCTTATACTCTGTATTACTATGAGTAAACTCCAATAATAAGTTACTCAATGAACACTTCAGCAAAAATGTTCTACTCTTTTTAAATTTTTATGTTTTTGTTTGTTTTGAGATGGAGTCTCGCTCTGTTGCCCAGGCTAGAGTGCAATGGCGCGATCTCAGCTCACTGCAACCTCCGCCTCCTGGGTTCAAATAATTCTCCTGCCTCAGCCTCCCAAGTAGCTGCGATTACAGGCACGCGCCACCATGCCCGGCTAATTTTTTGTATTTTTAGTTTCACCATGTTGGCCAGACTGGTCTCGAACTTCTGACCTTGTGATCCGCCCGCCTCAGCCTCCCAAAGTGCTGGGATTACAGGCGTGAGCCACCGCGCCCAGTCTAATTTTTATATTTTTTGAGACACAGTCTCACTCTCTCATCCTGGCTAGAGTACAGTAGCATGATCACAGCTCACTGCAGCTTCGAACTCCTGGGCTCAAGGGATCCTCCCGCCTCAGCCTCCCAAGTAGCTGGGGCAACAGGTATGCACCACCACGCCTGGCTCATTTTTTAAAAATGTTTTGTACAGACGAGGTCTTCCTATGTTGCCAAGGCTGGACTCAAACTCCTGGCTTCAAGCCATCCTCCAACCTCAGCCTCCTCCCAAAGTGGTGGGATTACTGGCATAAGCCACCACACTGGCCTCAATCTTTTTTAATGTACTACATCTTACAACAACAAAAAGTAAACCTTCCATTGAGTCTTGTTGGTTCTGGATATCATTCATATTTGATTTTACTTATTTACACTAAAATTTTGGAGAAGGTTGGATGGCAACTTTTCCTATGGTTGCAATTAATAGTTTCTTTACTAAGCAATATTTTAAAATTTTATGACCCTTATCTCCCCTATTCTTAGAGCAAAGCTGAAGACTTCTACAGATTTCTTCAACTGGAAATCAGGAACTGTAATATAAAGAACAGATCCACAAAGCAATTAGGAGTTTCCAAACACTTAACTGTTTAGATTAAATGAAAATACTGAGTTTTTTTTTTTTTAAGTTTAAATTTGAACCAGAGTGTTATCTGATGGGATTCTCTACCATCCTCATCTAAATTTCCGGATTCATGCCAACCATGCTACACAAATTTGGAATTCAAGATTAATGATCCTCTATCCTAGAGTAGATCACTAGACAGCAGTTTTAATATTTGACTGTGCCAATAATAATTATTCTAGTATTAAAATATAGAAACTTTGCAATAACCCTTCCAATTAAAGCTCTACTTACATTTCTAATCATTAGTAATAGAAGAAAATCCACAAGTCAGTGGACAGAACATTTACACCAGGTCAACTTTCTGCATGAAGAGGAAGCACTTT